AGGAGGGAGGAGGAGGAGGGAGGAGGAGGCAGGCTGCGTCCCAATCGGCAGGCTGCCGCTGCGCCCGCCGCCGTGCCCGCCGCCGCGCGCGCCGCCGCGCGGCCCGCCGCGCCCCGCCGCGCCCCGCCGCGGCCCGCGCCGCGGGGGCAGCCCACGGCCGCCCACGCGGCGCCTCGCCGCCGCGGCAGGCGCCGCGTGCCTCGCGGGGCGGCGGCGGCGGGCGCGCGGCGAGCGGGGCGCAGGCGCCGCCGGGAAGCGAAGAGCCCAGACCTCCCACGTAGATGCTCGTTTTGGCTACCCGCTTGTGGCCCACCTAACGGAGCTGTTGGACCCCAGCTCGGCTCCAGTTCGACTCAAGCTCGACTCGGGTTCGACTCGGGTTCGACGCAAGGTCGACTAGAATCGAGGGACTTTCGACGCAGCTTCGACGCAGGAGTGGAGCGAGTGGCTCCAGGAAGGTCCTCAGAGTGAGCAGTCAATCCCACGTATGGAAAGTTTCCATGCGGAGGTTTTGGGCCGTTCTCGGCCTCCGGGGGGCCCTTGCCGGGCCCCGGGACCGTCCAGAATCGGCTCGGGATGAGGGGCCAGCCCAGGGGGAGGGGTCGGGAGCAAATAGAATCAGTACATCGTCGGGGGCGGCACAGAGGGGGGTGATGACAAGGGGGGGCGGACATCATGGCGGGGGTCATGATATCTCCCCAGACTTCATGGCTCCTCTTCTTATTTCAATCCGTCCCTGGCTCCCCCCTGGGCCGCGCACATGTCGCTGGCCATGATTTGCGCCCCCCACCGCTTGGACACCCCCATCGGCCCCGACATCGGGAGGTCCTGAGCAAGCGGGTCTGCGGGTATACGTATCTAGGTCTCCCAGATGGGGTCGGAGTAGATGCGGTCGGGAGGATCACGCCGCCATCGCCGATGCATCGGTGACGCGGCTCGATGTGGAGCCGGACTTTTTCCGTGCCGACGTCGCCGATGCATCGCCGACGTCGCCGATGCAGCGACGATGCATCGACGGTTCATCAGCGTTGCATCGAGAGGCGCGCGCAGGGCATAAAGAGGTCCGGATCGGCGGCGACCTCAGGGTGGGATGCTGGGGGGGCAGACCTTCCCGCAAGGCTCGGAAGACCTCGGGCCTGCCGAGAAGTTTTTTTGTTTCCTCTGAGCCATTCTCCGACGACGGGCACGGCTTCTCAGAAGGGCAGAGGAATTCCAGGAAGCCCCGCCGCCTGCCGAGAAGGCCTGCTCCCTCTCAGTGGAGAAGTTTTCTGTGCCTCCTCCAAAAACAGGGACCCAGACCCCCGACGTCGTGATTTTTCCCAGCGTCGACCCTCAGAGTTCTGGACCCCTTCCGCGGGACCAGATTTTCATCCTGAGTCGTTTTTTGATGGTCTCGGGGCCCAGCGAGGGCCCCAGGAGGCCGAAAATGGCGAAAAACCTCCCGTCGTGATTTTGTCACAGCGCGAGGGGGTCTGGGGGCGGCTTCTCAGAAGGCCAGAGGGCGCCGCCGCTTGCCGAGAAGGCCTGCCCCCCCTCCTCACTTCCCCCCCTCCAGGCGCGCCGCCGACCTGAGCGAGCGGGTTCCCAGACCCCGTCGCACCTCGAACAAAATGACCCCCTCCCGCAAATCCTCTTCCTCCTCCTCCTCCTCCTCCTCCTCATCCTCGTAGTCGTTTGCATTCGCCTCCCCAACCTTGTCGCCCCCTGCCTTCCCCTCGCCCCCATCATCTTCCCCCTCCCCCCCCACACTTCCCCATCACACTCCCTCCTCCTCCTCCGCCTCCTCCCCCGCCTCCCACTACATAGTTGTTTCGTAATGTTCTGCCCCCCGCGGGAGCCCGTCAATAAGACGACAAAGTTTGACTCCAGGCTGAACCCTAGCAGATGTATTGGGCGCAAAGGGCAGGGGGGGACTCATCTGATTGCATAGCAATGTGCTCGCTCCCAACAGGGACCGCCGGACCACCCTTCATGAAGGCTGCGCGAGCGAACCTTCAGGCGAGTGCGATGGACGCAGAGTCCATAAGACGACACGGGATGGAAACGCGGCCTCGGGGAATGGGTCGGGATTCCCGGGGACCTCGTGCTGAAACCACGAGGACATCGCGTGCCTGGGCAGGGCGAGCGGGTCTGAGGTTGTCGGACGTGGTCGTCGCCTCTCGACGGCCCTTCCAGTCTCGAGATGGCCTCCAGCGGCTGCGCCCAGTCGAGGGCCTTCTGCTGGAGTCCTGGAGTGTCCCCTACGGCCGCGGGAGACCCGAGGTCTGGCCCAAAGCGAGCAGGCCCCTCCGCTGTGAACAGGGAAAATCACGGCGGGAGGCGTTTGGCAGTTTTCGGCCCCCTGCCGCCCAGGGACCGTGGCAGAGCGACACGGGATGAGAAGCCAGCCCAGGGTCGAGGGTCGAGGGTCGAGGGCCTGGGTCGAGGGCCTGGGTCCAGGTCGAGGGTCGAGGGCCTGGGGTCTGGTCGAGGCTCGAGGGTCGAGGGTCGAGCAGCAAGCACGGCGTCGAGGGTCTGGGAGCGGGTCTGGGGCGAGCGAGGTGTCTCTCGGCGCGGTGCTCGGCAGTCTGGGCTGGTTCTGGGAGGCTCTCCAGCCTCGGGATTCCTTATCTAGCGGCCGCGCTTCCCCCCCCCCCAGTTTGCCAGGAGTACCTGGATCGTCCGAATGTTTTTTGTCAGTTCTGGTGCTCTTATGATGGGCCGATTTTCCACCACCACTACCACAGGTAGGAGAGGGAGGATGATAAGGAGGAGGAGAAGGAGGAGGAAATGGAGGAGGGAGGAGGAAGAGGAGGAGGAGGGAGGAGGAGGAGGAGGAGGAGGAGGAGGCGGAGGCGGAGGAGGAGGCGGAGACGAGGAGGAGGAGGAGGCAGGAGGAGGAGGAGAGGAGAGGAGGAGGAGAGGAGGAGGAGGAGGAGGAGGGAGGGAGGGAGAGGAGAGGAGAGGAGGAGAGGAGGAGGAGGAGGGAGGGAGGGAGGGAGGGAGAGGGAGGGAGGAGGGAGGGAGGGAGGGAGGGAGGGGAGAGGGGAGGAGGGAGAGGAGGAGGAGGAGGAGAGGAGGAGGAGGAGGAGGAGGAGGAGGAGGAGGAGGAGGAGGAGGAGGAGGAGGGGAGGAAGGAGGAGGAAGAGGAGGAGGGATGAATAAGTGGAGGAGGAGCAGGAAAAGGAATAGGAGCTGGAGGAAGAGGAGGATGAGGGGGAGGAGGAGGAGGAGGAGGATGAGGAGGAGGAGGAGCAGGAGGAGCAGAAGCAGGACCAGGAGCAGGAGGAGGAGCAGGAGGGAGGAGGAGGGAGGAGGAGGGAGGAGGAGGGAGGAGAAGAAGGAGGAGGGATGCCCCCTGGGGGGCCCATGACCCGTCTCCCCAAGGGCCCTCCTTGCCTCGTGCCCGCTCAGGCGGCACGGCGCGGCGCGCCGAGGCGGACGGCGGCGGGGCAGAGGCTCCGTATGACCGCCTGTGTGTGTGTGTGTGTGTGTGTGTGTGTGTTGTGTGTGTGTCATCCCCCTCGCCCCCCCGCCTCTGACCTTCTTCCTCTCTTCCCTCCTCCCTCCCTTTCCTCCCTCCTCTCCCCCTCCTCCTGCTCCTCCTCCACCTCCTCCTCCTCCTCCTCCTCGTCCTCCTCCCTCCCCATCCTCCTCCTCCTCCTCCTCCTCCTCCTCCTCCTCCTCCTCCTCCTCCTCCTCATCCTCATTCCCCTTACTCACGCTCCTCAGTCTCCTCCTTCCCACCTCCCTCTACCTCCTCTCCCCTCCCTGGCCATTGAGCTGGTCCGTGGTGGCTGTTGGCACCCCCTCCGTACTGGCCCGTCCATCGCTACCCCCCGGCGTCCATGCCCGGATGACTTTCATGGCGGCGGTTGCTGCGAGACCTTTGATGGGCTCTGAAGGCTCGGGCGTTCCTAGTCGCGCGCGCGCGATTGCTGTTCTGTGCACTGTCGCAGCGCGCGGGGCCGCGACGCCAAAAAGTGTGTCTCTTTGCATCTCGTTGTCGTCTTTGTTGCCCTCGTGGTTGTCCTCGTCGTCGTCGTCGTCGTCGTCTTCGTCGTTTCTTCACCCTGCCGCTGGGCTCCGCTGCGATGGCAACGGAGTGTGTGTGTGTGTAGATTGCTCTCTCCCCCTCTCCATGTTTTCTTATTTGTTTCTTTTGTGTTACGTTTGTTTGTTTGTTTGTTTCTCTCTCTCTCTCTCTCTTTCGGCGGTGACTGACGGGGCTTGTTCTAATCAAGCATACCCCCGCTTGGCGAGGACTGGTTTCGGGATCTACGATGGGCCTGGCCATAAGCTAAACCATTCCGCCCCCGTTTCTGGTCAAGCACGATCCGCGCCACGGGCAGAAACCCATGCCATGCTTCATGTGGTCGCCACGGCTGAAAAGGCCAGCAAACGCTTCCATCGACACCCAGGCGGTCGTCGGCGGGTTCAAAGGACAAGTGCCACAACGGTTGGGGCCGCAAGCCGATCTTTGGCAGAGAATGCACTAAGTGTTCCGAGCGAAACCCGCCTTGCTGAAAATATCAAAGATGGACCACCACATGGGGGGGGAGCGCGCCAACTCTGTGCGCATCACTCCGATCGCCGAAGAGTTCAACCAGCATGCTGCTGAGTTCGCCACCTCAGGAGCGAGGCTCCACAACATCCCACAAAGCATGGCCGACGCCGCCAAGTAAGCGACGCAAAAAAGCTGGATCGTCTGCGCCGACATTGGCGCGTAAGCTGCCCGCGTAAGATCGCGTGCAGGCGCCCTCGCTTCAATCTTAGCGTGCCGCGCTGGCGGCCTGCGCAAGCTACCGCGTAAGGTCGCTGTGCCATCTCGCGTAAGACCCGCTTCTTTTCGTCGCGCAAGCGGCGCCACAAGTTCGCCGCCGTTCTCTACATCGCGGCCGCCGTCATGTTACCACCTGCGACACCGGGCGCTGCATTTTTCCCCCACACGAGGGCGGGGCACTCCAGGGCGGAGCTGTCCAACATGGCGCCAAACCTGCTCGCCGTCGGTCTGGGGACGCATGGCCCAGGCCCGCAAGGAGGACCACCTCCCGTGGACGGGCCGCCAGGTCCCGACCATTTCGACAAACTTGACCATCCTTGGCCTCCACCCACGGAGGACGTCGAGGGTGAGGAACTCGAGTCGCTCGGGCCTCGAGCCTCTCTCAACGACGACGAAGACAGTGACTTCCCCCGGCGCAGTCGCCCCCTTAACCAGGACAACACAGCCGTCTTGACCACCGTGTTGAGTCGGCTAATGCCCGACGCCCAGGGGCGTCGGAGCACGATGCCCACTCACCACGCCCACGGCAGCCAACCCTCACAGTCGGCCCACCATGGCTCCGACAGGGACGGCTTCGGGACAACGGCCACCAGGCCAGCGGGGCTGCCCAACCCACAGACTGCAGTGAAACCGTCACGCAGCACCTCACGGCGACGAACATCTAGCGACAAAGTGACCGCGAGGTCACTCTCACAGCTCCGCTGATCGACAGGTTCCACCGAGCGCAAGAGGCCTGAAGCGACCTGCAACAGGCCTTCTGGCCTGCAGTCGCTAGGGGGGCAGCCCTCCCTGCCAATCTCCAAGCCTTCTTCGACGCTCCGCTCCACGGCGGCACACCAGTGCTAGCCACCTTCTCCTTTCCCGCGGACCACGTGCATAGTTGGCATCTGAACCGTCGTTCGCTCTCCGTGGGCCTCTGCGGGGGACGCCCCAAGGCGGCGCCTTTCCATCCCCATTGTCGCCGAGGGTTGCATGCCAAAGCGGGCTAAAAGCTGGCACCCTTTTTTTGCGCAGCCGGGCCCCATAGCGGCCTGATCACCGCCGCCCGCCCTTTCTTCCTGACGGGGCCCCTATGATTGCGCCAGGGGGAGGTAGACCCACCCCACCTGTTACACACGTGGCGCCTCCAGCCAATGCGAGAACGGCATGCTGGGCGCTCGCAGCCCTGGGGCCGGGACAGATACGCGGCCCGAATTCTGGGGATGTCTCTCTTTCTCTATTTTTTTTGTTTTTTTTTTCTATCTCTCTCTCTCTCTCTCTGTCTCTCTCTCATCGCGGACGTCGCCGATGCATCGGCGATGCATCGGCGGTGCAGCGGCGATGCATCGGCGTTGCGGCGCCATCATCGGCGGCGCGCACCTGGGGTTGGCGCGGGTGGTGGCCATCTATGACCGGGGGTCTTCTTTTAGACTGCAAGAGCCGTCTTAGATACGTCGTGGGGCTTGTAAGTCGGCTTCTTGGAAGTCTCTGGACGCTTCTAAGAAGGCCGCTGCTTTCTACGGAGTCCCCCATGCCTTCTTCGAAGACCACCTGCCTTCTCAGAGAGTCCCCCCCCCGCGCCGTCCTCCTGCGCAAAGGTCTTCCCTTTCACGTTGCCGTGGCTACGCCCGCGTTAGTGTATCTGCGCTGGCCAGGGTCTCGCGTGCTGGCTGGACTACTCAAGGTTGACCCTCAGGTGATTCCTGGCGTGCCTACTGCAGATTGGCCCACACACCCAGACCCCCGCCGTGATATTTGTTTCGCAGCGTTGATCGCCAGAGGTCTGGACTTCTTCCTGGGGACCAGCTTTTTATCCTTAGTAGTTTTTGGACGGTACCGAGGCATGGTAAAGGCTCCCAGCGGCCGAAAATAGCAACAAAGCAAAATACTCCAGTCTTGTTTTTCTTTATAACCCGAAGAGGACTGGGAACATCACTTGCTGCGGCCCGTCCACTAGGATGCAATCCTTGGAGATTAAATTTCGAATCGGCGATGGCATATCCCTGGTCGGAAACTTCCCTAATCTTGTTCAGCCCAGCTCTGTCCTTTTTACTCCCGCCTAATTCTGCTTTGGTCGCGTGCGCTCCAGCTTTGTTCTGGGCTTCATCTGGCCTGGTCTGTCGCAGTGGCCTCTCTATCGGGCTTCCTAGCCCCGAGTCGTTCTGACAAAGACCTCCAGCATCAGTCCGGGCTCCACCTGGCCTGGTCCATCATCTCCGTGGCCTCTCGACCGGGCGTCGTAGCCCTGAACCGTCGGGCATTGCATCCTGACGCCCAGGCGGGCGGCCGCGGCTTCGCTGTGCACTGGGCCAGCGTGCGCGAGGGGCGGGGGCACGTGGCCGTCAAGCGCTTCCTGGCCCCGCCGGGCCACGCGCGCCTGCCGCCGTGGAGCCCCGCGGTGCTGCTGGTGCACGGCGGCCCCGGCCTGCCCTCGCGCTACCTGGAGCTCGGGGGGGGCAGGGCGGGCCAGTGCCGAAGCGGCGTCTGACGTTGCATCTTCGGGGGGCCTCGCTGGTCCTCAGAGTCGGTGTCTTCTCTCGGGCCCGACGCGGGCCCGACGCGGGCTCGACGCGGATTTGGCGTGGATCCGACGCGGGTTCGACGCGGATTCGACACGGATCCGACGAGCATGACATGGATGCGACACGGATTCGACGCGGCTAGGGTCGCGACGGGACGGACGAGGCCCCCTGAGGATGCAGCATGACACCCCAACATATTCATGTTGCATGTGCGTCGCCCCACATGGGCGACGCGCGCGCCGAGAAATCTTGTGGTACATGCTTCGTGGCGGGATCTTTCTGTCCGTACCCCTCGGGGAACGAGATGCTGCATGATGTTTGTACGATACGTCCTGGGGTAGGACGCATGCCTTCAAGGAGGACACATGTTTCTAGCATGGGGGAATGCATCGACCCCCAATCGCTCATTGATCACCGAAAGGCCAATAGCTTTACTCCGCCCAAGAACCTGGGGATACGCTATACTGGGGGCCGATCGCAGATCTGTATCGGCGATGCATCGCCGATTCCAGGTCGGTGTGTCCCTCTTGAGCGAAGATATTGCGAAGGGAGTGTGTTTGTTTTTCCAGGTTCGGCCTCCAGGTGCCAAAAACCGGACCCCGTGAACGTCACGAAACAATTGCAGATGGAACGCCGGTCCAGGGGAAATGATCTAGCCCCTTGGTGGCCAACGTTGTGAACAGAAGAAGACGTCGAAGGTCTGGGGAGGGGCTCAATGTGTACCCAACTTGGTCTGCTCGGCCAAGTAGCCAGGGACTTCGGCGAAGGACTTCTTTGCATATGCGATCCAGCGCCCCGAAGCGTGGGAAGAAGGGGCGTCTGTCAACCGAGCTCCTTGGCCGACCAGACGACCCGCGGTGTCTGCATCCAGCCGCTCCCAGGGCGCGGTGGCAAGGAGGGTAGACGGGGGTAGGACCGACAAGCTCGGCCCGTTGGACCCCTCTCCGCAGAGATCCTGTGTGCGATAGATCCACCAATTTTTGGATGGCGGGGTCGTGTCCCCAAACTAATTAGTGAGCGACGTCGTAACATAGAGAGAACACAAAAAAGAAAAGAAAACAAGGCGCGCGCCGAACGAACATGTGAGTCAGGGGCCAACTTCAGGCGCCCCCCAAAAAGGCGGCCAAACACAACATGTGAGTCAAGGGCCGATTCGAAAGGCAAAGAAAACTAATGGGTGGAATGGTGTCGACTGTTTGGGAGGAGTCGCTCTGGCTGGGTTTCGTTGTTTTTGTTTGTTTTCGCTTGTCCGTCGGCTGCATTGGTCGCCCCAGGCTCGACTGCCGCCCCCCTCGGCTGGCCCCATTCCCTGGCTGGGTTTCGTTGTTGTTGTTCGTTTTCGCTTGTCCGTCGACTGCATTGGTCCCCCCGGGCTCGTCAGCCGCCCTCCTCGGCTGGCCCCATTCCCTGGCTGTTTTGTTGTTATTGTCTGTGTTCGCTTGTCCGTCGGCTGCATTGGTCGCCCCAGGCTCGCCTGCCGCCCCCCTCGGCTGGCCCCATTCCCTGGCTGGTTTTCTTTGTTCTTGTTTGTTTTCGCTTGTCCGTCGGCTGCATTGGTCGCCCCAGGCTCGTCTGCCGCCCCCCTCGGCTGGCCCCATTCCCTGGCTGGTTTTCGTTGTTTTTGATCGTTTTCGCTTGTCCGTCGGCTGCATTGGTCGCCCCAGGCTCGTCAACCGCCCTCCTCGGCAGGCCCCATTCCCTGGCTGGTTTTCCGGGTTTTTGTTTCTTTTCGCTTGCCTGTTGGCTGCATTGGTCGCCCCAGGCTCGCCTGCCGCCCCCCTCGGCTGGCCCCATTCCCTGGCTGGTTTTCTTTGTTCTTATTTGTTTTCGCTTGTCCGTCGGCTGCATTGGTCGCCCAAGGCTCGTCTGCCGCCTCCCTCGGCTGGCCCCATTCCCTGGCTGGTGTTCTTTGTTCTTGTTTGTTTTCGCTTGTCCGTCGACTGCAGTGGTCGCTCCAGGCTCGTCAGTCGCCCTCCTCGGCTGGCCCCATTCCCTGGCTGGTTTTCTTTGTTTGTGATTGTTTTCGCTTGTCCGTCGGCTGCATTGGTCGCCCCAGGCTCGTCTGCCGCCCCCCTCGGCTGGCCCCATTCCCTGGCTGGTTTTCGTTGTTTTTGATCGTTTTCGCTTGTCCGTCGGCTGCATTGGTCGCCCCAGGCTCGTCAACCGCCCTCCTCGGCAGGCCCCATTCCCTGGCTGGTTTTCCGGGTTTTTGTTTCTTTTCGCTTGCCTGTTGGCTGCATTGGTCGCCCCAGGCTCGCCTGCCGCCCCCCTCGGCTGGCCCCATTCCCTGGCTGGTTTTCTTTGTTCTTATTTGTTTTCGCTTGTCCGTCGGCTGCATTGGTCGCCCCAGGCTCGTCTGCCGCCCCCCTCGGCTGGCCCCATTCCCTGGCTGGTTTTCTTTGTTTGTGCTTGTTTTCGCTTGTCCGTCGGCTGCATTGGTCGCCCCAGGCTCGTCTGCCGCCCCCCTTGGCTGGCCCCATTCCCTGGCTGGTTTTCTTTGGTTTCGCTTGTCCGTCGGAGGATTGTTATGATGAGGAGTAGGAGGAGGAGGAGGAGGAGGAGGAGGAGGAAGAGGAGGTGGAGGGTGAGGAAGCAGGAGCGGGAGGAGCAGGAGGAGGAGGAGGAGGAGGAGGAGGAGGAGGAGGAGGGGCAAGAGCAGGGAGGATCCCCTCCTGCTGGGCCTCCCGCCCCCTGCAGGAGCCGCTGGCCCAGCGCCTCTGCGCTTTCCGCGGCCGCACGGTGTACGCATACGACCAGCCGGGCTGCGGCCTGTCCGCGGCGGCAGGGACGTTCGGCAGCATGGCGCAGGTCGGCGGCGAGATCCGAATTTTGCCCGCGCCGATCAATGATTCAGTCGGCGGCGAGCGAGGGGCCCTGAGATCATGGCGTCGCATTTGTTTCACAGACAGATCCGGCTGAAGGGGTCTACCACCCCTCCGATTAAAAAGTTTGGACCGCAGAGGTCGCGGAAACTCAGCGTGGACGGGCCCCGTTGGGCCGCGGGGAAATGGTAGAATGTTCCAGAGACCGCCATCGCGGATTTCCGGTCCATGCCTCATCCCCTTTCAAACTATTATCGCCACATGGGGCGACGATTGGAAATTCGCATTCCGCCGAATACGTTCCCCCAACCCAAAAAAAATCCAGTCGCTTCCTGAACGACCCGAAATTTTCAGAGGCGACCGGAAGTTTGCGATTTCGCTCAAGACTTCCTCACAACCAAAAATCCGGTCCGATTGATGTTGGCTGGAAGTCGAGCCGTGGTTTGGAAGATCTTATGCAAAGCGTGTCTGCTTCGTTTGGTGCCCGCGATTCGAAGCAGCACTTTCTCTGTCAGTGCTCCATGGTCTGCTGTGCCGTGCCAGTGTTCGGCGCGCTGCCCTCTTTCGGAGTCATCTCGGAGACCATGTCCAAAATCGGGAGCCCAGACCCGTCGAGGGTCCGCGATCCAGGTCCGATCGGAGAGCGACGATGCAAACGGCCCTGGGCCGAGCCGGACTTTTTAATCCAGCAGTTGGTAGGGTTTTGTGCGTGTTTTTTTCCTTTTTTGACAACGTTGCAAGTTTTTCGCGACGTAAGATTTCAGGGGGGGAATGAGAAGGAGAAGACCTTCTCAGAAGGCGGCGGGACCTCTCAGGAGGCCTCTGGCCTTCTGAGCGGTCTTCTGTGTCTACGGGGAAGGCTTGGACAACTTTTCAAAAGGCCGGGGGAATTCTGAGCCTTCTGAGAAGGCCCGCCCCTTCTCTTTTTCCCTCTGGGCTCGCCGCCAACCTACCCTCGCCGATCAATGATATCGATGGGCGGCGGGGGTAGGGTTCGGAGGTGATCATTGGGTCGTAGCGAGGGGAGGATCGTACTGGGGTTGGTGGCTTGGGCCCCCCCAATACATGCTGTGGTGCACGCAGGCGATTGATCCGCCGGTGGCGCGGACGCACCCTGGCGAGTGCAGGCCGCGGCCGCCGTTACTGTGACCCTCCCACCCGACCCCCTTTCCGAGGTAACGACGGTTACGTGGGACAGCCGCAACAACGGTCACGAGTTTGTCGAACATGCTTTCCCCGCCCGGGCACGCTGGCCAGTTCGCTCCTCGGTGCCCCCGCTTAGCTCCATCGCTGGTGCAGCCAACTCTACCTCGCCGCCGACGGAAAAGCTGGTCGAACACGTGGCGGCATTCGAAATTGACTTAAGGGAATGGAAAAACTACATAAACCTTAAAACTCGTAGGTTCGCGCAGATTTCTCGGATCCGCGCTGGGCCCCCTTTCCTTGCGCGCGGAGCGCGCCAGGGGCGGCGCCGGAGTCGCCGCCAGGGGGCCCCAGTGCCGATCCGAGAAATCCGCGCGGACCTCAGAGTTTTTATGTTTGTGTCATTTTTCGTTCCCCTGGAAGCTTACCCCCGCCTCCCATCGGTTCAGAAGGAGAGCCGATGGCCGGTGTAGGTAGGGTTCCGATGTCGCCGCCCATGGCAGGGCGCGCGGGACCTGCGAGACGTGCTGGCGTTCCTGGGCGCGGAGCTCGGGGAGCGCGAGGCGCCGCGGGCGCCAAGGGCCCCCCGCGTCAGAGGAGTGGAGTGGAGTGGAGTGGACCCCGTTGCGATGCAAGTTCGGTTTCGCTTAGCCTGGCCTGGAAGGAGCACTCGAGCGAGCCGATTGCTCGGCTCGACTCAGGACCTTGGGCTGCAACCCCCTGTGGATCCTGTCAAGGTATACTCTACCGTGCTTGGACAATCTAAGCTTACATGGTGCTTTCAGCGAGCATATCGCCTTGTCGGCGATGGCCCCGCACACACTACAGAACCATACCTGAAGTGACACGTGTACATTCAAGGTGTGTGTAGTGTGCGCCCAGCCCCCCGCTATGTGTACCCTCGCCCCCTTCCTAGGAGAGAAAATGACCCCATTCACATTGTACAGGGGGGTACACTCAGACGTCCAGAATTCCTTAACAGTGTCAGCGGATGCTGACCCGAAACATTGCAGGCATTTCCGCTGGCAGTCGGCCAGCCTGTGGCGGGACTGGAACGCTGCAACAACAGAAGCAGGCAAAGGAGGAGGAGGGGGAGGGGGAGGCAGGCCCGTTGGGGCCTCACGAGACATCCGCTTCTCCTCCCTCTCCGCCTCACGCGTGGCCTGCATGCTGTCCATCGCAGCTCTCGCCAATCTCATGCGCACAAGGAATGCGCGCCGCTCATGACATAACACACGTGTGCGGATGGCTTGTGGGACCCGTGCCTTCTCCGCCGCGAATCCAGCAAACTCGTCGGCCAGAGCATTGCCGATGACGAGGGAGCGGATACCTTTCCCGTCCAGCATCTCAGCGGGTCCCATATGTGACCTGGTCCACAGCACCACCACGTCACAGAACTCGCGGGTGCGCATGAGTTCGCCGATCTTCTGCCATAAGTCTGCGTCGAGCCCCGCAGGTTGAGCGAACCTTTTTTCGTACCACCCCTGCGCTACAGCCTCGCAGTCAGTGGTGTAAGTCAAATATCTAGAGGTAGTCCACAATGCCATGTACAGGGCCATCAATTCGCCTCTGGGTACGACCTGGCGGTCGCCTTCCAAAGGACCAAAGACAGCACCCGTGATCTGCAACTCTGGAACTATCTGCTCTGTGCACACAATCGCTACACCTACCCGCCTCAGCCTTGTCATGGCCGAGTCAGCTCCACCACTGGCGTCACCATAAATCTGGATTGGTGCTGCTGGTGATCCCTCTCCAAACATGCCCTGGGCCAGGCCGTTGGTGCCGACAAACTCCCACTGAGCCTCAGTCGGCACCGTCGGGACTTCCAGCCATTGGGACGGGATGAGGCCCCTCAGCCAGAAACACTCGGCCGTGTCGACCTGTGTCAGTGCCTGGGGCACCAGCTCCTCCGAGGCCGTGTAGGATGGAGAGCCAGTGTTCTTGGGGCAACCCCACGCTCGATGGCATGGAGTCTCCGGGTGTTCCCGACATCGGTCGCATAGTGCATTACCTCGATATCCCTTGAGCTCGTCGACCTTCCGTTGCTTCGTCCAGAATCCTCCCGTGGCGATGTTGACCAGCACCTCGGCCAGACGCAGCCCGTGTGGGAGTTGAGACACCTGAAGCAGCAGAAGACGCAGGGACTCATTGTCGACCCCTGCCTCCATGCCTCCTCCACAATAATGTCGAGCTGCCTGGCGCCATTGCAACAGTTCAGCCGACTTTCGTACGTCTGCAAGCAGACCTCGGTGATTGTCCAGCCACCTGTTGCCCGTGAAGATCTCGTCTGGGAACTGCCACTCCTCCGTCGTGTTGCTCTGAGACGCATACGACCAGACCGACGTACTGACTGGGTCCCACTCCAGCTTGAGCAGAGTCAGGATGGTGGCGGAGATGGGCCCTTTAACAATACGAACTTGATCTTTGGGCAACCGACCTCGCATATCTGCCACGATCCGTGACCATACGTACTTGATGCTCTTCCGTAGGTCGGGCTGAGACTGCCAGGTGTCCATCCACAAGTCGATGCAGCGCACTGGATATGATACCCCTGGGTCACAAGACGGTGCCCTGAGGTCTAATAATGTCGTCAAACATCGACCGCGAACTCCACTTCCACAAGTCTGCCCTAGCCTCCGTCGACACCTTTTCAACTGTTCTCCGAAGATCCCGTGGATTTGGAAGCCGTAGGTGCCCGCAGGCTGGCCTCCGTTCCTTTCTAACCTGGATAACTGCTGATATCTTTTCCCCGCACGACAGTACCGAACAATTTGACCATTCATGCGTTTATGTTTAGCTTGCCTCTGGGTGCGAGTGGCTCGGCCTCCGCGACCACATGAGAAATCTATTCCTAGGTATGCGGCCTGCCGAACAACTTTCACCGTGAACCCCTTCAATTTAATCGCTTTGGCCACCGTATGTGCGTCCTGCATGGTGGTGCACATGATGACTGACTTCTTGGCAATCTTGAGTCCCACTTTGCTGAGCTCCTGTCCCGTCTTGACCACGCTCTTGATAAGGTTGGTCCTGATAGCCTGACGAGAACCTGTTGTCTTTATCGAAATATCATCAATCCAAACCCTGTGAGCCATACTCGGCGTCGCCGTCGTCACCGCCTTCATGACAAAGTGCGTCAGCACTTTGGCAAACCGAGTGCCAGACCTCAGGCCCTGCACGATACTTTGACACGGTTCGAACGGAGACGACACAGCCCCCTCGAGCGAGAGGGTTCTCGTGGCCACGCACATCACCAACTCGAGGTATAATATGATAGGGGGGAACTGCAGCCTTAGCGCGGCCTTGGCCAGCGGCATCCAGGGGATCGTGTCGTAGAACTCCTGGACGTCCAGCAGTCCGTGGCCGAACTGAAGCCCCATCGTGCTCGCCAGCTCCTCGTCCACCGCTCGGAGGTATGCCTCCTTGAGGCATGAGTTGCCCGCCACAGCTGCGTCCCACGCCTGGGCTTCGTCTGCGGACCACTGCCGAACAAGTGGTTCGCGGATATGGGACCACACCCTGGCGAGCATGGGCGTGATCCCGATAGCTCTGTCTCCACTTGATTTCTTTGGGGTGAGATGCCCCACCACTAAGAGTATCTGCACTGGCCACGCAAGGACATGTTCGATGCTGTGCAACACCAACACCAGTTCTTGAATGGCTGCACTGGGCAATCTTTGAAAATCAATTGGGCTCATCATATCTACTCCGAGTCCAGCTTTGGCCTTCATAGACCTCGTACTCCGAAAAACCTGTTCAACCGTGATATCAGGCAAGGAATCCCACTTGGCCTCCTCACGAATGAGACGGAAGACCTCGCGCACCTCCCCAAGGTCAGGAGGCCTCGGGGCCCACAGCTTTCTGAATGCCACCGCTTTCTGATCCAGGATCTGGGCCGGGTGGATCAGCACCTTACCTTCAACCTCGAGGTCGGGTGGTGGCGTCGGCTGCTGCTTCAGGGCCTTGTGAAGGATGCCATTCGCACAGGGGTCGTCCGTCACCCACTGCTTGAACTCGTGCAAGGACTCGCGCACTGCAGTGCGCTGTGCACGGGCTTGAAGTTTCCGTGAACTATCGACGAAGGATTCCAGGACTGGGGCCGCCATCGTCAGCGGACGCTTGAGGAGGGTAATCCACTCATCCATGGGCGGCTCCTTCCCTGGGTTGATGATCGTATGAACGTTGGGTGGCCGTGAATCACACAGCTGTCCGCATATCTTGGCATACTCGTCGAGCTGCCTCTTCCCATTCTGACGTGAACGGTGGCGGGATACACTGCTGAGGACTGTGTGTACCCTCGTCCACCACTGGCTACGTTGGTCCCTGAGCGGCAGGTGGCGTGTGTGCGCCGTCGTCCGCAGCGGGCGTTCGACGAACCTGGGGCCCTCCGACCGTGGCACCCCAGGGCTGACCTGAATATCATGATGCAGATGGATAGCCCGTTCGACTGCGGACGCCCAGCCAGCGTACATGCCAGAGACAAGTGTGCTGTGCTGAGGTTCGAGCGAAAAGGCTACGGAGGAGGAGAGGTGGGGGGAGGTAGACGCCACCACAGAGGCTCCTGGTTGAAACCCAACCTGGCTCCTACACTCAATCCACGTCTCAACGGGGACTTCAAACGTGGGCTCAGGTTTGGCCCCAGGACTCAAGTTGGTGGCTTGCTGCAGTTGACTACACTGGGGTTCCGAGGGACAGGGGGGCTGGGCATCGCACACCTCCGAATTACTGACAACTCGACTCGGATCTATGCCTTTTTCCCCCGCCCGCTGAGGCTCCTGAGGGGTCTTACCCGAAGGCTCTCCCAGGGGCTCAAGGGTACTCGGCAATTGCGCGTCGCTACAGAAGTTGAGCTCGTTGGCCCATGGGTCCTCCTCAAACTCAGGGTGAAACAAAAACTCGGGATCCATGTCCTCCTCAAGCTCCCGCGGATGCTGCTGGCCAGCAAGGTCCTGGGCTCCATGATCCTGGAGGCAGTCCCCGAAATGCTTTTCAAAAAACTCGGTACGTTTCTCATGCGCCAATAGCCGTGCTGCAATAAGCTTAGCCCGTGTGGCGCTCGACTTGGACCCGACTGTAGGTTCCACTCGAGGCCTCGGGGGTTGCGGGAGACGGCACGGCAACTCTAGCTCACGAGTCTGCAGCTGCTGACCCGACGCTCGTAGGGAGATAGCTAAGCCTATATGGGGCCTCCATGCCACATCCCGAATTGGCCTCACCTCCTTCACGAAAGGGACAGCCGATTGGCTCATTACAAGGTAATCAAGCATGCTGTCTTCCCCATTCTTTTTGGCGCAAGTGCCCGTGACGTCAGCCGTTCTAATGATGGCGCCCCCGACGCGCTCCAGGAATTTGGACTTGGCTAACGTCTCTGGTGACATGTTGTAGTCCCCGATGCACACCCATGGCATACGTATTGAAGTCAAGAGGCCCCCCAGCTTGCGAAACCTTTCACAATTGCGCCCTGACATTCCAATACACGGGAACGCATACAGCACGATGACCACGATGGCGTAGCCCTGCTGCTGAAGTAACATGGGCAGGAAACCGTCTAGTGCACTCGACCCTG